CTAATTTCCTTTCCTTCTTTAAGTATTTTCTTCCTTTTTCCATATCAGCCTTTTCTTTTACCCATTTATCCATTGGGCTCCTCTTAGGCAGATTTCTCATTTTCTAAGTTGTATATATTAAAAAAGAAACATATATGAGCATTTTATTACATTTTTTACATTAATATATTTAAAAATATTATATATAATGTGTAAAATATATAAATAATATGTTATATGTAAAAACATAAAAGTTTTATTATATTATTTTTAAAGAATTATTAAATTATAGAGGCAATACCTATTTATTATATAAAACTTGGAAGTTACAGAAGAAAAAATTCTTCTGATCACGGTAGTAAGAGAGAAGTGTTGGGACAATGAGGTGACAAATATTTGAAGTGATAGACATGCTAAGTACCCCAATATGATCATTGTGCACAGTATAAATGTATGCAGATATGTATTGTACTCCATAAATATATACAATTATGGGTCATTAAGAAAAAGTAAATTTGAAGGAAAAAGGGCGGAGCCCATGGTGCACTTGGGAGAGTGCAGCGCTGGGAACGCATCAGCGCTCCCGCCGTGGGTTCGGATCCTGTATAGGGATGGCCGGTGCTCACTGGCTGAGCGCAGTGCAGCCGGTCTCAAAAAGGACCAAAAAAAAAAAAATGATGGAAAAAGAAATAGAGAGTCAAATAGTGGTTACCAGAGGCAGGAAAAGGGAGAGGGGATACAGGAAAAGGTTGTTAAATTCTACAAAGTTACAAAGTTAAAGTTAGAAAGAATAAGTTCTGGTGCTCTAAGGTGACTATAGCAAATCATATTATATTGTCTATTTCGAGATAGCCAGAAAAGAGGTTCTTGAATGTTATAACCAACAAGAAATGACAAATGTTTAGGNCTATTAATCTTTCCCTTGAGAGCAAGAGAGCACTTTGTTGACATGGTGACGTTTACTCTTTTCTGTTTTTCTCTTCTCTCCCCTCTCTCTTCTCTGTGCAGACAGCTCAAGGCGGTGGTCATCGAACACTCCTCTATGGGCATGCCATCTTGCTGCGTCATTCCTACAGTGGCATGGTGAGTAGACATTGTGATTTCATCTCTCATGTGGTCATGCCAATCCATTTGAGGAAACCATAGTCAGGAGATGCTGGTAGTGTCATTTCAGCAGTGGTATTAATGAGCTTGGATGTATATGTTCCTTAATAACTTTGTACCCTGTTTAGTTTTCTCATTTATAAGGTGAAGGTTAGCTTAGATGATCTTTAACGTCCTTCAATTCCACCATTATATGACTCTTATTTTTCATGT